CTTCTAACTTCTTGTCAGATATCTACTAATGTATTAACGGTTAAAGGGTCCAAACAAAAAAAAAAAAATAAATAAAACGTATTTTTTAACAATAATTATCTTTAACAGATTTTTTTTAATAACCAGGGTTTGAATGTAACTGATTCCATCCAATATTAAAATGATAAATCTAAACTCACTAAGTCACACAGCATCACATCAATCATTAGTTCAACAAAGGATTAAAGATAAATCCAGGTTTATTCAAACAAACACCAAAGCAAAGCTTTCCTCACAGCCGCAGTGCCTTTAAGCTAAGTTTTCTACTGTATTAAAGAGTTTATTTATGCATTATTTGTTACTGTGAATGTATTCAAAGGACATGTAAGGTGGTAAATCCACACCAGGCTGCTGTTTGAAAGAATCTCTTCAGTGAATGATGCTTTTTTAAAATATTTTTTAGATTTTGACTCAACATGTTTGAGTCGTTCTGGGTGGGACTGTGTCCTCAGCTAAAAGTTTAATACAAGCAGGAAGCTTCCTGTTAGCTCGTCAGAATAAAAGTCTTAAAAACACATTTTAATAATGAATCAGAAGAGGATAACATCTCAGAATAAAATGTTTTTTTATGCTTAAAACAGTTTCTAAGAAAGGAGACCTCTGAGGCCTTGAASTATATTTTTATATTTTCTTGTAGTTCTGTTACAGAAGCTGCTGTATGATTTTTTTATTGCACTTATTTTCCCAGAAGCTTTGTAGCTAAAGTTCTGCTGTCATCCCCGGTTTGTTGAAACCAGTGGACTCACCTGTTGAACCAGTTGGATCAGTGACAGGTGAATGTTTTCTTGACGTGAGGTTGAGATTATAGATTATTTTGTGCCTTTAGCGCTCGTGTAGGCTGGGATATTTAAACCGAAGGGCCAAAGAAAAGCAGCAGAGCTTGTTTCTTTTTAGTTTCTCTCCTGATTAAATCACAAAATGTTTTGTCGTTTTTAGCTGAAACAATTTCAGCAATATGTATTTTAATGAACTGAAAATGTAAAAACATGTTTTACAAACTGTCAGTGTAGTTACAAACTTTAATTGTTCTTCCTGTTCTGAAAACAAATAAAATCACAGTTAGAAAAGACGATGTTTTTAAGGCTCAGGTCTGGTTTTATATTTCTGTGCTGAATATTTATTCCTTACAGACTTAAAGTCTCTTCAGTAAAAGAGGATTCAACAAGGTTGAATATTTTTATATGTAGTTATTAGGGCTGCAACGATTCAGAAAATTTACAATTTGGTTTGATACTTTAGTTTTTAGTGTTGTTATCTCATCGCATATTTAAATAAAAATATTAAAACAAAGTAATAGTGAAGTGTGTTCTTTTACAGCATGTTTACAGTAACATTTGTGTGTTTAAAAGTAAGATTAGTAATGGAATTAGCCCCGTTTTAACAGATTTTGTTCTGCTGCTTCAGGAACATGTTGGTTTGTGCAGAACTGCAGTTTAACTGTTGCTGTTTGACTCTGAGCTGTTGTGTCTCTGCAGAAACCCTGACAATCAGAAAGAAAACAAGATGCGATGTTGAAGCAGCAAGATCGTCTTTTTTTACAGCTTCTTTAGGGACATTTCTGCAAAACCCACTGCTTTATCTGTTAAATACATTTAGTCTGTAGGAGGCAGAAAAGTTGAGTTTAGTCTCTCCTGGTTCTGCAGAGAGATCTTTATATTCTGTTTGGGTCAGATTGTTCAGCCCGTTCAGTTTTCTTTATTTTCTATGATGTTTTCTGAGCTGTTATGTTAAATTATCTGAGATGGAATTACAAAGTAAGGGTCTGGACTGATCAGTTTCCTCGTCTTTTATTTATTTATTTACAGTTGTTTAACCAGACAAGTCATGTTCAGATCTCAGATCTCTTTTTCAACGGAGACCTGGACCTGAAGGCAACCTATTGTCTTAATCCTCCTCTGGTTCTGGGTCAGACTCTGGTTCTGGGTCAGACTCTGGTTCTGGGTCAGACTCTGGCTCTGGTTCAGACTCTGGTTCTGGGTCAGACTCTGGTTCTGGGTCAGACTCTGGTTCTGGGTCAGACTCTGGCTCCAGCATGTAAGGCTGGATGAACAAGTCTTCTATTGTTGACATCTTTTAATTAAATTGTAAATAAAACGTTTCTGCAAGCTAGAAAATATAACCCCCTCTCAAACCGGAGTGGACCGGTCTGGAAGCAGGAGGGGGGCGGGGCTTGAAGCATCTTAAAGGAACAGTAACAAAACCAGCCATAAATAGTTAAAATAAGGAAGAATTCAGACCAAAGCTTTGTAGTTCCACTTTATAAAGACCCAACTGATGGATTTAAATGTGAAGAGGAAGGATTTAAAAGTATCAGATGTTTACTTTAAATGTCTTTGTGTTGATTTAAGGTTTCGATCAGTTTAAACGGTGACCTGAGCAGTGACTCATAAGTTAACCTACAGGAGGCCGTGATGTAAAGAAACAGGATCTACAGAAGAATCAATGCAGGTTTCAAAGTGAAGAAGGATCCCTGAGGTAATAACCCAGTCTGCACTCAGAACCAGAAACTAACAAAAGATCTTTTGTGGTGGGAAAAAAACACCAGAAACAGCTTAAATCTCCTGGTTGAGCTGGATCAGAGTCATGTTACTGTTTGTTGTTGCCCAGAATTAAATAATTCACAACCATACACTCAGATTTTCTGTGCATTTATTCCAACGTGTTTCTGCATTCTTGATAAACTTGCCACGACAGTTTATTGGCATTGTTGGCAGGATGAATTATTTACATTGAATTATTCAGCAATTATTCAGTGAATTATTTAATTCTGGGCAACAACAAACAGAAAACAAATCAAGGAAGCCAGTCAGATTGTGGCCCAGAATTAAATAATTCACGACCATACACACAGATTTTCTGTGCATTTATTCCAACGTGTTTCTGCATTCTTCATAAACTTGCCACGACATTACCAACAGGGACACRCAGGAGGACTGCAGAGGGATTTTAATGTTACGTTTATTTTCTTATAACACTTCAGAAAAACGTTTTAAATCAAAATAACTGTCCAAAAACACAAACAGTTTCTGGGAAAACTAAAATCTGAGAGTCACTAAATATCAAATTACTGGTTGTAACAAATCAAGAGGTGTTTCAGTCCWTTTCTTTGTCTCTTTATATTTCAGTTTATTGTTTTCATGTCCTGAAAAGTAAGACTGTCAATAATTRAGGATTCCTTCGTTCCTTTAATTATGGATAATTGACTCAGAAGGACGTTTCAGTTACTACAACCTAAACTTTACCTAATTAGTTATCACTTAAAAAATGACTTTTTATTTTGCATTTGTTTTTCTTTCTTTCTTTTTTACATTTTTTGGATGAAAAGTGTTTATGTTCCAGTTGTAATATAAATTATCACCAACAGTCAGTGAGTTTATTTTACCAGCAGATGGCAGTAAAGACTAAAGAATGGAGGAGAAGTCAGCAAAACATTGATCTCCTTTCTTGAGTAAGCATTTTGTTTTTCCAATAAATAACAATAATATAAAACATTCTGTAACTTAAGATTTAAATCTGACCAAACTGTCTTTACAGGAAAGAAAAATAACTCATTATATAAAGTATTGACAGCTTTCAATTTTTCTTTTGTTCTGAGCTATTGTTAAGTTTTTGTTTATTATTTACATTTTTATGTGTTTTTTTTAGTTCTGATAGTGATTAGCCCTAATTTAGATTTCAGTTTTCTATTTTCCAATATGATTGAAATCAGCAGGATAAAGTAAATCAGTTCTGAAAACAAACTAAATCAAAATCAGATGTTTTTAATCTGTTTTACCAGAAATGACTCAGTGTTTGTCTTTGTTTTTGCTGTCTCCAAGTATTTCTGATGTCCTGTATTATTTAATTTAATTTACTGATAATTATGATTTTTATGATTGTTRTGTAAGGACCCCCTCGAAAATGAGACGGTACATCTCGAGGCGTTATTATCCTTGAAATAAATACATAAATAAACAAATATATTTAATGATACAATGTGATGAATTAAAAAAGAAAGTGTTAAAGAAGACAAACTCGATGCAGCTCGGTCCGAAATGAGCCTCTCTGTGGAGTGGAACCAGTTAAACTCCCAGACCAGGAGACTGGGACTAGATTTACTCTCCATCTCACCTTCTTTCTGTGTGTGTGTGTGTGTGTGTGTGTGTGTGTGTGTGTGTGTGTGTGTGTGTGTGTGTGTGTTTATGCTCTCACAAATTTCAGATCCATCCCTCCTAATGGAACCTGGAACAGAAATTGCTCCCTGAAGGTGGTCTCTGGCTTGGGGGGTTTGTTTTCATGTGGATTCAAACTCAGACTTTGAAAAGTTTTTCGAGAAAAAACTCAAACTCAACTTTTAAAAAGGGGGTTGCATTCTTGAATATTTAATTTTTACTCTGTTTTGTGTGTTTGTTTTTTTTACTAAAACAACGATAAAATGTGGATCAAAGTGTTGCTGACAGGTCAGCTCCTTCTCATTATCTGCCTGAGAGCATCTCATGGCTGTCCGTGTTCCCAATATTCAGCTCAGACTACAAAATGTGTTTCCTGTGAAAATGCTTGTGTGTGAAAGTGAGTTCTGAATGTGAAAGCTGCTGAGATTGAGCTGAAAATATTTAATAGTGAAAGTGTTAATGCAAGTTCAATTTGAAAAGCTGAAAGACGGAAAAAAAGCTAGACTTTGCAGAAAAACAGTAAAAAGGAGCAAAAATAATAACCAAAATAGCAGAAAACAGCTAAAATAGCTGAATATAGCAGAAAACATCTGTAAGAAGGCACAAATAGCACAAATTAGCAGGAAAAAACACGAAAAGTAGAAAAAAATCAGAATATCAGAAAAAACAGATCTAAAGCTGAAAAATAATTAAAAAAGCTAAATTGGCATAAAATAAGCTAAAGGTAGCAGCCACAAGTTGTAATTAACATCCAAATAGTGAAAGGTGTGTAAAAAAATTAAAATTAGCAGAAAAAATGCACAAAAGTACAAAATAAGTGACAGTTTGTAGTAAAATAGCTAAAACTGCTTAAATTTTCAGTAAAACAGCTAAAATCTAGTTGGAAATAAGGAAGCATAAGAAGAAATGTTTGCTGAACTTAGCAGAAATAAATTGCAATACCTTTTAAAAAATCTGCATTTAGCTTAAAAAAGCTAACTAGCTAAAAACAGCTGAACTTTAACTGAAATTGCAGCACATAGCTGAATATGGCACAAAGCAACTGTAAGATGCATAAAAAGCACAAAGTAGCAAAAAAAAAATAAAAAACAGAAAGAAGCAGAATTTTAGCTGAAATAGCATAAAAAGCTAAAATTAGCAAAACAGTAGATTAGCACAAGAAAGTGAAAAATAGCAGAACCAGACCAAAATAAGGTGCTGTAAAGATTTAGAAACGTTTTGAAGGATTTTAAAGACGTTGAAACAGCTCCATTCATTTTCAGTGGAAACGAGTCAGATGCTGAAAAACGTACAGAAGAAAAACTGATCTCAGCGTATAAAYACTGTGACGCGTTCAAACAGTAATTCCTCAGGGTGATTTTTTTATTTGTAGGAAGAGACAAAAGAACAGGACTGTTGAAGCACGTAGTTCTGTTTCATTCAAGTAAACTCTTAATGTTCTGTGAAGAGACGTTTTTCTGTTTCRCTGAATCTCGACAGGAGAGGTGAGCGAGCAAAGCTGTTTTATTACCACCTCCTCGCATCACTGGGCCTCTTCTCTTCCCTCAGATCAAATTGTTTTTTACAACTGTACTAGGAAAAAATGTGTCAGTTTTAGCGATATTGAGGTAAAACCTTGATGTGGAAGTGGCTGAGAGTCATCCTGAATATTCAAATTACTTCTTTGTTTATTGTGGAGAGAAATGTGATTTCTTTTAAGGACTTGAAAACCTGTTTTACTAATAAATAATTAAAGATTTGATCATATTTTCACTAAAACATCTGCAAACAATCCTGTTAACGTTACAATTTGATGTTACTTCCTGCCCATTTGTAGCCCGACCAAGGCTGTCAGGGATTTTGAATTAGCAAAAATAAACTATTGAAATGATTTGACTGGTTGTCTTCTTTTGATTGGCACCTCTTTTGACCAACTGGGTTTATCTATTGCAAGTAGGGGGTCTCTGCAGACGAGTGGGCGTTTCACAAGGAACGGCGATTCTAAAGCGACACCTGATTTGACAGACTTTTTTAAAGGGACACACCTGACTGGACAAGCAAAAAAGGGGCGTCACCGTATGGCACCACCTGATTGGACAAGAACAAAAGGGGCGTTACTGTACAGCACCACCTGATTGGACAAGAACAAAAGGGGCGTTA